GCGCGGCGGAGGAGGGATAACAAGCGGGAGGGCCGGCGTGTTCCGCCTTTCGCTTGAGGCAATTGCGCGTTCAGCCGCCGCAGGCACGTCTCCCTTTCTCTCCTTACTCCGTGGCTTTCAGCGCAGGGATTTAACCTTCGCCATCAACGTCCACTGTCCACGGTGCCCCGAGGGTAAGCCTCTGCGCCCGTGCTCTGCCCGCTCTGAAGTAGGAGGTTACAGTCCGTGAGTCCTTTCAGCGCCCACACACTGTGGAAAACTAGAAAGGGCGTGCAGACCGCTGGCCGCGGACCAGGAGCGGCGGCCAGGACCCCCGGGGTGAGAAGGGCTCCCGCTGGTATGTGGAGACGCTGGCGGCTTTCTTGGCGCGGATTTGCGGTCCTGGCGTGTTCGCGTGCGCTGGGCCCCGGCGTGCGTGATAGGGAGTCCACTTAGCGGGGTGGGGGCTTCAAACTGGTTCACAGTACCCACTCTTAACTCTCTGGAGCGTAAGTAGTGTGAATGGCTCCACTTTGCCTAGGCTTGCTGAATTCCTACTTGGCTCTGGCCCCTTCCTGGATAAGGTGTTCCCACTTCAATCTAAGAATATTCGCACCACCGGTGCGCCCGGGGTGGCTTGCTCCACCACTCTGTTCCTCACAGTCCTCCTCCGGACAGAAGGCGAAACAGCCTAAAACTATAGCTACCCTATGTTTGTCCTTCCTAGCAAAGCTCTAGAAAGGATAGTGCATGCTTGTTTCCTGCATCAATCATCCTCTACTCATAGTAGTGAGTCTTTATCACCCCCCTCGCCCCAGCTGTGATCTAAAATTGCTCTCTCGTACAGAGGCTACTAGTGACCCAACAATAGCCAAATTTAAGTACAGTTGGAAGATGTTCATGAACTGTTATCTTAGGGATTTGACAAATCGATAGTGACTTCCTTTCCTCATATATTTAAGGGATTTATTCTGCTTTAAATAAAGTCATAAATTGTCCAAAACCCAACGCAGCTATAGTTAATCAATTGGTATGTGAATATATACATATATATTATTGGCATAGGTATTATTTTTATGCAGAGGTTTTGTTTTAATTCCTTGGTTGTAATCTTCATAGGCGTTTAACTGTGTGTGTTGTATATAGCTGCAGTAAGAGACAGGTGTGCTATATATGTACACATTTATTTCAGTTAGCATATTGGATTTTAACTTGTTGACAACTATTTATTGTTCTAAACAAGCACCCTTAGGTGCAGAACTTTTTCTGTAGATGGGATTATTTCAATTGGGTAATTTCGCAAAGAGGTTGCTGATTGAAAAGCCAAACTTCCCATTAGTTTTTCAGTTAACATACTAACACAATCTCCATTTCTCTTTATGTAGTGTTTTTTTAGTTTATTTTTTGTCTTTTGATATTTGTGAAGTGAAATCACTGGGTTTGTAGTAGTCCTGGTACCTGCTTAAACTTGAACAGTTTGTGAAATACATGGTAGCAGATTAGCTCTTCCTCCTTCAGACAGATCAGTGTTTTTTTTTTGATCTATTTCATTTTGTCTTGCTGGTGTTATGAACCTTTCTAAAACCACATTTTAGCATGAATTGTAATTCATACAGAAGAGTACACTACAAATGATTGTGCATCTTAGTGAATGATTACCAAGGAACAGAACATTACAAGGGAGTCAGGGACACCTCCCTGATCATAAATGCTTCCTTTCCTTCAGAGGTAACAGTACACTGACTTTTATGGCAGTTAAAAAAAAAAAAAAAAGAACTTTAACAGTTGTACCCATAAACAAAGTAGTTTTCTGTTTTTCCGTTTTGAACTTTTTATGCATGGAGTCATAAGGTACACATTCCTTCCTCTTTCCTTGGTTTTGTTTGAGAACTTTAATCTAGTGGCAAGTAGCAACGGATCATATATTTTCATTGCTATATAGAATTTCACTGTGTGATTTCCTACAATTTATTGGCTTTACTATAGGTAGATTCTTAGATCGTTTCCAGTGCTTGGGAATTGCAAACAATGCAGCTATGGCTGTTCTTGTGTCTCTCTTGGTGTGCATAGATTCCAAGGATTTCTTGGGAGGGCTTAATTGTAAAGTCACAGGGTATGCATATTTCCAGTTAACTTTTTTAAATTTTAGAATAATTTTAGATTTATGTTCTCATACCACTCACCCATTTTCCTCTATTTTAAAAAACATCTTGAGTTACTAGAGGGTATTCAACTAAAGCAATTAAGACTACTAAGTCATACTTAATTCAGATTTACTAGTTATTCTTCCCCCCTCCCCACGTCTATATCTAGTATTGGATCTTCTCTATCTTGCTTCCTTAATTTCCTCTGGTTTATGAGTTTCTCATCTTCTCTGAAGATGAGAAACTTGACAGTTTTTGAGAAATACTGGTCAGGTGCTTTACAGCATATCATTTAGCATTTGTATGATATTTGCCTCAAGGTTAGAATGGAATTGTAGGTTTTGAGATGCAACCTCACAGTGCTACTCTTGTCACATCCTGTCCATGGAACAGACACTGTTAGCATCAAGTGACTTCTGAGGTTGACTCCTTTCACCGGGCTGAGGTGATACCTGTCAGGTTTCTTTACTTAGCAAATCACTAAAAACAGTTCACATCTGTGGGTGGTATGAATCGGAGTTAAGAGGAAATACCGGTATGTAGTATTTGGAATTCTTCCTTAAGAGTTTGTTTCTTCCCATTCATTCATTTATTTATTCAGTCAGTCATCTGTCTCTATGGACTCACACCTGAGTTATAATTCAATACCGCAATATTGGACAACTGGGAACTCTTTTGGGTTGACTTCTGTTGTCTTTTTGACATTCCCCATCCTTTTCCTTACTTTTCAGGCACTAGGTGAAACTAAATTTATCTCTCATCTTGTTTATTCCCAGTCCTAGAATCAGCAGTTTCTTCAGTGAGCTGTGATTCCTCTTATTGGAGAATGGGGTTAGAAGCCAAGATCTGGGTCTGGGTGCATAGCTCCAATTTTACCATTTAATATAAGCAGTTCTTAAGTTTTGTTTTACCAACTTTCACTTCAAATCCTTTTCTGCCAATTTTCCTATAAATGTTTTGGTTGTTTTTGGTTTACCTTTTGTTTGGAATGTATGGACCAGAGGTTTAAATTTCAATGTAGTGAACAAGATAACTCCTAATATTCTTGATTACTATTTCCCTTACTTACTATAACTCCTAGTATACTTGATCATTTACCCAAGACACAGCCATCACTTTCCTAAAAGTGGCAGTATTCTGCTTTCCCTTTGGCTGGAAGTATTAACCATTCACTGACCTATTCTTGAGTATACTTAATTTTTGTCTAAATGGTTGATAGATTGTTGTAATCACCAGTGAATGTTTCCCTTCCCAATTACAGTATTTCTTCTATCATACATAAAACTCTCATCAGCTATCTTTTTCAGAGTTGCCTCCTATTTATTATGCTAATATCAGAAAGAAGGACTGATAAGTCTAACTCTCTGCAGGCTTTGGAAGTAGTTTTAGCTAGGGGCATTTTGCTGCCCTAGGGACTTTTTACAGCAAGATCATTTGTCACAACTGTCGGAGATTAAAGATTCCAATGACTGCTAGCGGGTAGAGGCCAGGAATATTGCTAAGCATCATACAGCATACCTACAGTGTCCCCCAAATAAAGAATTATTGAGGCAAAACATTAGTAATAATGAGGTTGAGAAACTGTGCTAGGTGATTCCATTAGAGCAATCAAGAAAAAACAAAGCAAAACAGGCAGGAGTTTATGAAAGTGAGGAAATATCCTGGTTCACAGATAAAATGTCACTTTCCTCAAGACCTAATCCTTACCCTTTAAAGAAAAGAATTCCTTCTTCTTTTACGGTTTCCTAGAACTTAGAACATTGTGATTTTACACATACATACACACACTCTTAATTTTTTTTCTCTTTCCCTAGTCCAGTGTTCACAGATTCAGCAGCCACAGAACATGGCTCCACAGAATTCATCTGAATTTCCAGTGCCTAGGAAAATTAAAGACAATGGTATAGAGTAGAAAGAAGTTTGATAGGCTACTTATCACTCTGAAACCTGGGCAAGTTTATTAATTTCCTGAGTGTCCCTTGCATGGCTATTGTTAAGACTAGAGAAAGCTTTCATGAAGAACTATCACTGTAGATCCTAATGTCATTATCACAACTCTGAATTAAATGGAAGGTATTAGAAAATGGATTGTGAGAGTTTATAGCTTAAGAGTGTGAGTGGTGATTTCTGATAAAATCTTGAGTGAGCATCAGAATGAAATGCTGTTGAAATAATGTCATGGGAATGGAGGTCTAGGATGAAAGAAAATGCTGTTTTGGGTGGTCTTTAGCTTTGAACTCACTCAGAATGTTTGTGGTGTTGGAGAAGGAATGTGAAAGGAGCTTGTGAGCCAGGAATGCAATCCATTTTCTACTAGTACCTTCCTTGGTGACTGGGTATGAATTGGGGACCATAGATGTCTCAAGAGGAGGTCGATGGTGGTATATTCCAGCTGCACATGCATCAAGGGTAGTGATGTGTTGATGCAGCATGGTTGAGATGCATGGTGGTGTTGATGGGACAGACAAGAGGTAGGGAAAGTTGCCAGCATTAGAAGGAGCCTGACCTGTGCCAGATGATTCAGATCACCTGCCTCTCAGGTTGGCTGTGAGATTCTTTGAGGTTCAGAGAGACAAAATGCCTTTCTTTATTTCTTATAGCTCCTACATGGCAGAACTGGGAGAAACTGCTGGAAAGGTGTAAGAAACATTCAGTGATCCATATTAGAGGAATGTTTTTGTGCTAACAACTGTATCACAGTTGTCAGCTCTACATCAATCAGTTCTGTGCCTAAGATAGTGGGCTTTACCACTTTTGGGGAATTAATATTTTTTCCAGGTGTTTCACTTTCTAACCTTTCTTTTCTATAGGCCCCATTTATTCCATGCTCTTTTGATTTTTTTTTCCATAGAAGCCTGAGTATTGCCCATAGACAAGATGACAGATTCATTTTCATCTTCCTTCTTTTTGGATTTTGGGCTCTTCTTTTATTTGGAGGAGCTCAACAAAGAGGAATTAAATCAATTCAAGCTACTACTAAAGAATGAGACACTGGAACCCGGGCACTGCCAGATACCCTGGACTGAAGTGAAGAAGGCCAAGCGGGAAGAACTGGCAAATTTGATGAATGAGTATTACCCAGGAGAGCAGGCCTGGAATGTGGCTCTCAAAATCTTTGGCAAGATGAACCTGAAGGACCTGTGTGAGAGAGCAAGAGCAGAGATCAACTGTGAGTGCTGTCAGGGATATAGCTGGGTGTAGGGTAAAGAGTGCTTCCTGGAGCCCACTGGGATGATTCTGGGAAAGGGGTGTCGAGAGAAAAAGATTTTGTGAATCACAAGCTCCAAGGTGGTCGAGTATACTGGGAGCTTGTTGGATCATTTGAGGAACACTGAAAGGCAGGCACAGTTTAAGGAGTGTCTTAGCTTCCTGTATGAACTAATTTATTCATGTTGTGCTAATCAAAATCATTAAAGGAACTGAGTAATAAGAATCATCCCATTTAGTGTTCTTTTGCTTAAACTCCTAATAAAGCCTCAAGTTAGGCTATTTTTTTTTTTTTTTTTAGATTTATTTATTTGTGCATACAGAACTGGGGTGCAGGCCAGAGGCTCAGGGGCTGTGAGAGGTCTCACCAGAGACAGAGCGGGGAACAGAACAGGCAGATCCACAAAGTACACTGCTGAGGGGAGCAGCGGGTGGGCCAGGAGAGGTCTGCCACGCCTTGTGGTCACCTCCGGGGCAGGCGGGAATCGAACTCATGCAGAAGCGGCTTTAGATTCTCAGTGCTGTGCTTTAACCGGCTGCGCCACCAGGGAGAGCCCTAGGCTACATTTTTTTAAAGGTTTATTTATTTATGCATACAGAACTGGGGTACAGGCCAGAGGTGCAGGGACAGTGAGAGGATTCACTGGAGACAGAGTGGGGAGCAGAACAGGCTGACTGATAAAGTACACTGCTGAGGGGAGCAGCAGGTGGGTCAGGAGAGGTCTGCCAGGCCATGTGGTAGCCTCCAGGGTGGGCAGGGTTCGAACTTACGTTGAAGTGGCTTTAGCTTAATAGTGCTATGTTTTAATCTGCTGTGCTACCAGGGAGGGCCCAAGTTAGGAGTATTTTAAGGAATCTCAAATAGGACCTCATATCTTTGCTGAAAAATGATGAAATGGACAAAACTTAAGGAACCTATAATAGAGAATAGAGATCTATAATTCATTGCTCATAATCAAGGCTTTTTTTTTTTTTTTTTTTTTGAGTCTCACCATATATATCCCTGTCAAGTCAGTATAGACAAGGAAACTGAGGTGACTAGACCACTTGTTCTGGACTTAGAGGGTGGGGCAGGGTGAGGTGGGGCAAAAGAATTCCTACTTCAGTACCTTTCACACCACATCACCCCTTTCCTTAGCTAAGCTGGTGGAGTCTGAGACTTTTCAGTCTTAAAGTGTCTCAAACCCAGATGGTCATAAATTTGGACCACTGCGGAGAATCCCAGCTGCCATTCTGCCCATCACCAATGTTCTCCTTGTTTTTGGTAGATATCATGATCTTTTGGAACCTGTTGCAGGGACAGCTCAGACCAAAGGACCAGAGGAAGCCAGGACCAGAGAGATACAAGGTGATCAAGATGCAGTGCTGGGTGAGTTAGATGATCTTTGTCAGATGCGGGGGAGAGTTTAAGCTTTTGAAGGATGATAGTTTATTGCCCAGATAACAACTGTTAACATCTCTCTGGCCTGTTCCCTGTATATATCATTTAAAAAGGAGTCAATAAAACTGGTAGGAATACATGGAAGAGATAATTTGTTCGGAGATGACTTCTTGAGATAGGGACATATGAATTTAAATCTAGAAGAGGAATGGGTTTAACTAGGTTAAGATGAAACCAAATTTTCACTCATAGTTTTTCTCTTCAAAATCCTCTTGAGGTTATACTTCAATATTTGTTTCTACTGATGTTTTTCTCTGCATAAAGTAGATTATTCAGATTCAGGTATTCAGATCCTCCCTAGCTATTATTGTTATTTGCCACTCTTATTTTATTTTAGATGGCACTCTGTTGTCCATATAGATCAAATTACTCCCCTCCACCTTTCCACACGTCCCCACCCTCCAATGGGGGAAAAGTTCAAAGAAAATACTTCTAGAGTTAATCTAACTTTTAATTTTCCATCATAAATTCATTTGTGTATTTGTCAGCTTTGTTTTTCCAATATCTAATGCAGGTTTTTAATCTGCAGAAATACCTTATTTACATTCTTATTTAAACCAGCTGCACTTTGATATCAGCCTATATTTTTTTTTGTCCCTGCTCCATTCCAAATTAGGTAAGGGAACAGGATACAAAATTCAAATAAAGGAACTATTTCACCTCACGTGGGATAAGAAGTCTTTGTTTGGAGAGCCTGGAGATTTCCATTGTGGAACTGCTCAGGCAGACCAAAAACTGTTGGAACATTTGTTTGACGTGGACATCTCGACTGGCAAGCAGCCTCTGACTGTGGTGATTCGAGGGGCTGCTGGAGTTGGGAAAACCACCTTGATGAGAAAGGCGATGTTAGACTGGGCGCAGGGAAATCTCTTTCAGCAGTTTACCTATGTTTTTTATCTCAATGCGAGAGAAATTAACCAGATGAGAGAGAGAAACTTTCTTCAGATGATATCTAAGGACTGGCCCAAGACAGAAGGCCCCATTGAAAGGATTATGTCCCAGCAAAGCAGTCTCCTTTTTATTATTGACAGTTTCGATGAACTCAACTTCGCCTTTGAGGAACCTGAGTTTGCCCTGTGCCAAGACTGGGCCCAAGTCCATCCAGTGTCCTTCCTCATGAGTAGTTTGCTGAGGAAAGTGATGCTCCCTGAGTCATCCTTATTGGTGACCACCAAACTCAAGGCATGTAAGAAACTAGAGCCTCTGTTAAAGAGTCAGTGTTCTGTGGAGCTACAGGGCATGGCTGAGGATGCAAGACAGAAGTATATTTACCAGTTTTTTGAGGAAAAAAAGTTGGCATTGCAAGTGTTCAGTTCATTGAGAAACAATGAGATGCTTTTTCGTATGTGCAGAGTTCCCCGAGTGTGCTGGGTGGTCTGTACTTGTCTGAAGCAGCAAATGGAGAAGGGCAGTGACATCACATGGACCTGCAAAACGGCCACAGCTCTGTTTACCTGCTACATCTCCAGCTTGTTCACACAGGGTCACTGCCCTCATCTACCCAACCCCATCCAACTGAGGAACCTGTGCCACCTGGCTGCCAGAGGAGTGTGGACTATGACATATGTGTTCTACAGGGAAAATCTGAGAAAGTACGGGCTAACCAAGTCTGATGTCTCCATTTTCCTAGACATGAATATTCTTCAGAAGGACACAGAACATGAAAACTGCTACGCATTCTCTCACCTTCATGTACAGGAGTTTTTTGCAGCTGTGTCTTACGTGTTGAAAGGTGGTTTGGGAAACACAGAGCACCCCTTTCAGTCTTTTGAACACTTGAAGCTGCTACTTGACAGCAAAACGCACAGAGACCCCCATTTGACTCAGATAAAATATTTTTTGTTTGGCCTTTTGAATGAGGATCGAATAAAACAACTGGAAAAAACCTTTCACTGTAAGATGTCATTGGAGATAAAATGGAAGGTTCTTCAGTGGATGGAAATACTAGGGAACAATGAGGATTTTCCATCACAGCTGGAATTTATGGAGTTTTTTCACTGTCTATATGAGAGTCAAGAGGAAGCATTTGTAAGCCAGGCAATGAGATCTTTCCAAAAGATTGTTATTAGTATTTGTGAGAATGTCCATTTGCTTGTGTTTTCATTCTGCCTCAAGCACTGTCAAAGTTTACAGAGCATTAAACTGTCTGTAAATGTGGTATCTGAGAAGATGTTGTTAAACTTAAGCCCGGAAGCTGAAACTCGGTAAGTGTATTTGATCAGTTCTCTGTGAGGGAGTAAAGGAGGTAGGTTTCTGCAGAGGGAGTGGGAGGAATTGTTTATCTGAGGTCCCACAGCCAGGGCAGTTCTTCAGTGTGGTCCTACCTTATTGACCAGTCTTGGCTACTAGTGAAGAGTGAGTATAAACTTGCCTGAAGTGGCTCACTGGGCCTGAAGGCAATCCCCAGAGAGGGACATGACTGAGAATTATCAGCTTTCAAAACTCTCCACCACGAGGAAATAAGTGCTTCAGTCGTCAAGGAGGCATGTAGAATAGGGCAAACTTGCACCCATTATTGTGTGTCTATTTAACCTTTCTAAGTGATGCCCTCCTGAAAAAGAGGGACCAAGAATTTATTCTGAACCTCATGTATGTAATTGTCTGTCTGGATCGGACTCCTGTAATCTACGGACCTAGCTCACCTTTCTAATTGCTTGACAGTAGGAAATATTTCAGTCCTTTAACATCTAACTAGAGAGAGATGTTGGTAGGTGCTCAATGTTTGAAGGGCTAAGTGAACTTTCAGCATTTTAGGCTTGTACTTTGCCCTCACCCCTTCTTCCAGTTGCCCTTTCTGACCCTATCCATGTCTGGTGGGAGAATTGAATTATGGGGTTAATTCCAAGTTGCACTAAAATAATTGGGCTTATTATCCGGTATATAATCACATCGTGAATGGGATAGTTAACATTATCCAACTCGATGCTAGTCAAAGCCATCTTTCTTCACTCCCAGATAAAAACTGAGATTCACAGAAGTTAGCATAAAAAAATCAGCAATTACTGATTCAAGCACACACCAGGCAATAACTAGCGGTTGTGCTATATCCCCGACCACCTTCTAATTCCCAAGTCATTTTGTCTCCCAACAATTGTAGGTAGATGCTATTACTTTAGTTAAAGCAAAATTGAGGTACTATATACAGCTAGACTGAAGTCTCACTTCTGATTGTAAATCATTAGTTTTCCAACTTTACCCAAGTTATCTCATTGCCATTACAGGCAGAACCACTCCTCTTGAAAGAACAACATACATTTCATTTCTCTCTGAACTGTGGGAGTGGGTATTATGGACTGGGATGCCACTGTCTTCATTGTCCTTGGGGAGTTGTGAGTAACCTTTGGTCAGTTTTCTAACTTAAGTAGGACTTAATAGTTCTTCTTAGAGAAGATGTGCTTGAACCCAGGGCACTACTGTTATTATTAGGAAGGCATTCTGACCACTTTAGTGCCAGTCTTGTGCTATCTTCTCACCAAAGTTGGACTGTTATCTAATAGTAGAGTTGGGAATGTTGCTTTAAAAAGACTCAGAACTCAGTATTTAAAAAGGGATATTATAGGTGACATCTGTCTCTTTTACAACATAATAACATTGTAAAAGTCACATAAACAGGACTTTTATGGTGGTCACCATTTTATCCACTTGCATGTTTGAATAAATGATTTCTTGACTGATTTTCTGAAATTTATGACCTCAGGTGATACAGAGACTAGCCCTTTGCAATATCATTCATTCCAATTTAAGTAAGGTGTGGAGAAAGCAAATATTTATTGTGTACTGAAGGCGATCAGGATTTGCCACTTCAAAGTATACCACTTTTATGTAGAGTTACTTTGGGATAAAGGCACTTGAATTCCTGAAATTCATTTACTGCCTAAAGCATAGTCTCTCAGAACTCAACTTTCATAACTCCCTTCCACAGGTGCAACACTGATCTCTTCTTGGAGACAGAAGTCAGCAGCTTTCCTGAATTAAGCATTGACACAAACTATCACCTGTCTCCCTTCCTAAAGACCTATATATATCTTTCCCCAAAGTCTTAATTTGATTTTCCACATGTGCTTCCTTCTCCTACCACCCCCTTACTAAGTTAGGTTTATAGGCCCCAAATTCTAACCATCCTTTTGAGTTGCTTAAACAAAATTTTGAGTTCTCTCATGTGTACCCACAATATCCATACTAATAAAATTTCTATGCTTTTCTCTTGTTAATCTGTCTTTTGCTCGTCTAGTTTATAGGGCCTCAGCTGTAAAGAGCTGGGAGGGCAATGGTAGTCTAGTTTTTCCTCCCCTACAGTAGCTATTTATGTATAACATGCTAGACTTTCATATATTTTTAACATAAATAATAGCTATTAATTGTTAAGAGCATTAACAATGTGAAATATTTGCTAAGTATTTTCTATAGATTGTCCTTCTGAGTTAATACAGTAATAGTATAAAAATATACTGTTGTGTTCATTTTTAAGATACAAAAGCTGAGGCTCACACAGGCCAGCAGTGTTGCTGCTGCTCACCCCTCACCCTGTTTAGTGAATAGCAGAGCCGGGATGCAGAGCTGTTCTGTTCTAGCGCTTTGCTTATAATTACTAGACTACCCTGTTTTATTCCTTATAACCTTTTATTTTTTTATAATTATTGACACTATGCCTAATGATTTAACTATACAGCACTAAAAATTTTATAGTGTTTCTGTGTACCTACTAAAAATCAACTGTTAAATTCTCAGAAATTTTTGAAGGGAAATGACATTTCCATTTTACAAATGAAGAAAACTCAAGAGCTTGTGGAACGAACATGCCTTGTGTAAAGTAATGTAGCCATTAAATGGCAGAAGGGCATAAAGCCTGTAGGTCTTAATTACACCACAGTGCCTTAAGGTGGACCTACTATTTAGCATCTTACTCATTCTGGTGGTTTTTCTTTTTCTTCTTGATACTGGCTCTTCAGGTATTTGACAATTTCTCCCTTGTTCCTCCTGACCATTTTCCTCCAAAGAGAAGTCTCTTATTTTTATTGATTTAAAAAAATTTTTTTAAAAAAGATTTATTTATTTATGCTTACAGAACTGGGGTACAGGGCAGAGGTGCAGGGGCAGTGAGAGGTTTCTCCAGAGTCAGAGTGGGGAGCAGAACAGGCAGACTGACAGAGTACACTGCTGGAAGGGAGCAGCGGGCTAGACAGGAGAGGTCTGTGGTGCCATGTGGATCACCTCCCTGGTCAGGATGGAACTCATGCTGCAATGACTTTGGAGAGCTTTATAATGCGGTGCTTTGATCTGTTGTGCCACCAGAGAGAGCCCTCTGGTTTTATTTTGCATGGGTAGAAGGTGTGGAGCACCTGCAGTGCCAAGAGCAAGACTTCTGGTGGACTGTCCCAGATCAGAGCTAATCTGGGTGCTCTGAACCACTCCCAAGTGCACCTTTTTGAGCTCGATTTATTGATATTTCCCTTTTCTCCATTATTCAGGCAAAAGGATAGTGGTCGCCTTACTCATTGCTGGAAAGATCTTTTTTCTGTACTTCATACAAATGAACACTTGAGAGAACTGGACCTCTGTCATAGCAGCCTTGATGAATTAGCAATGAAGGCTTTTTATCAAGAACTCAGGCACCCAAGTTGTAAACTAAAAAAATTAATGTGAGTATGGCATGAGGAAATTTAATGAAATTATTCCAATGTATTTCCTTCCTCCCATTCCTACTTATTAAGGGGAAACCAATAGTAAACTAATATTTAAAATCCACCTTAAAATACTATAAGAAAACAAACTAGGGGAACCTCTGGGATGTGGGAGCATAACTATCTTGCATTGGGGAACACCTCACAGATCATACTAGCTGTCCATATGGGCATTTGAGGCCTGGTTAGAAATTTTCTAGATGAAGATAAAAAAGCTAAGACATTCTAGGCAGGTCAGTGAAGCATTTTTAGAGACAAATCTATTTTTTTCTGTGGGGGAGTAATTTACATTCAGTGCAATTCACTGATATTAAATGTTGCATTCATTGAGGTTTGGGAATTCTGTGCATCTCCATAACCAATACCCAAAACAAGACAGAAGAGAATTCAGTTTCCTCAGCATTTCCTTGAGCTCCTGTCTTGTCTTCTCACACCATCAGGTCCCAAAGACAAGCACTTTTTAGCCCCCTTTGTGTTAGGAAATTATTTTGATTCCTACAGTGTGTTTTTTGTGCCCTTTTGCTCAAGATTTTTTTTTTTAATTTAACCACTTGATACATGTTTCAGTAATTTATTTAAATTGAATAGCATCCCATTCTGATATACTACAGTTTGTTATTCATTCTCTTGTCAACACAATCTTGGGTAAACTTTCAGTTTTTGCCTATTATGATCATGTCCTGAATATTCTTGTACAAGTCTTTTTTGTAACATGTTTCATCTCTTAGGCTAATAGCTAGGAATAGAACTGCAAGTTCATGGTTCTATGTTTGACTTTAAGCATCCACCAATCAATTCTTCTGAGTAGTTGTAACCAATTTATATGCCCACCAGCACTTTTCTCCTCGTCTATGCCAACATTTGATACTTCAGTCTTTTAAAACCATTTTTAGATCTTAATTTGATTCTAGAGACCCTTTTTGTTTTCACTTTTGCTTGCCTGCTTGTGTGTGGGCTCTACAGGGTGTTAGAACTGATCCTGTTTTCTGTTGGCCTCTATGTCCACCAGTGTGCCAGAGGCCCAGTTGTGCTCACTAACACGAGTTGAACAAATGACAAAACCTGAATGCTGAACGAATGATAAAAATATTTCTCCTTGAGCATTGAAGATTAGTGTTCCTTTCGGGTGGTTAGGGGTTCCCCTAGTTACTTCCTTGGGAATCTGTTTAACATTCGTGATATCTGACCTTTAGATCTCAAGCAAGTGGATTAAGTCTGGTCTTGTGTGTAGAGAGGGTAGGCAATTGTGTGTATGTTATGGTTAAGAGGCTCCTGGAGGTCCTTTTCACTCACTCCATAATGGCTTCAGAGTGCAAATCCCCTGGGAGGAGAGGGTGCCGCCATTAAGGCAGCTCTTATTCTTTCCCACTTTAGTGTTGCCGTATTCAAGACCCTTTTCTCTAATATAGGAGATTATACTTTATATTTAGTGGGTACATTAGCTGCTTTTACTTGGTGGTGATGGTTAGAACTCTAAACAGGTAAAAGCTTTGTTTTCTTGATGTGCTTGGAAGTGGGGTGACGATGCAGGGAAGGTGATGCTACAGAGGGAGATTTTAACGGTGAGCACTCTGAATTTGGGAGATAAGCAGAGGCACATAAAAGAAGCAGACAGAGCTAATAATACTGTGGTATGAGGTGGAAATTAGGAAGAAAATTGGCCAGTTTAACTTCCTTCATATTTTGCTTTGGGCTGTTTATATACCTGACAGAGTCCTTGAGATGATGGTATATTTTTCAATAACATGTCTTGTTAATGCATATCAAATAGTTATTAACTATGATCTCACCTTGTATTATTTCAGGAGTTAGATACAATAAATTAATGTAACTGCAGGATTGGCATAGCCCCAGTCATTTAAAAAAATGATTTATTTTATTAATTTATGCATACAAAAACTGGGTGTAGGCCAGAGGTTCAGGGTAGAGGAGAGCATTCACCAGAGACAGAGTGGGGAACAGAACAGGTGGATCCACTAAAATACACTGCTGAGGAGAGCAGCGGGTACGACAAAAGAGGTCTGATAGGTGGTGGGTCACCTTCCTGGCTGGCGATGCCACAGTAGCTGGTGATAGCTTGATAGTGCTGAGACTTTCGTCCCTGTACCACCAGAGACCCCATTCCAGAAATTTTTAGTAGTCATTTCTGGGATTGAGAATTAAACTCCTTTGATTTTTCCTGATGTTATCCCCTTCTACCATCAAGGTCAAATAATTGAGAGTATCAGTTGTCAGAATAGACATCTATGTTGTAAGCCAGCTGCTTTACTGCATCCTGAAATTGGGACTTATGACCTCACCTAGAATATGAGAAACCCAGAGTAAGATAAGAGATGGCAGGAATAGTGAGATAATATGGAAGAGCTGGGTTTGAAAAGAAAGGGATATTCTGACTAGGGACTGAGATGGCTCCGTCATCCCTTTTGCATATTTTTCTTCCAAAGGTTGAGATTTCTTTTTTTCCCTGATGGTTGTCAGCGTATCTCCCATTCTTTGATTCACAACCAGAATCTCAAGCATCTGGACCTGAAAGGGAGCAATATAAGTGACAGTGGAGTAAAGTCATTATGTGAAGCCTTGAAACACCCACAGTGCAAACTCCAGCATCTGAGGTAAGTTTTTAGTTAGTTACTATAATTGAGACTTTTTTCTGTCCATGTGGACTTTATATGCTGGACTTTCTGTCCTGAGGGCTAGTGTACATAGACTTTCATGATGTGGAATCAGGGATTAGTTCAGACTGATTACTTGGACTTTTAACTCTTCCCACCATCCCCATTGAAGACTCCTATAGTACAGTTAGTTTTCTGTCTCCAGCTGCTAAATACGAAAACAAAATGAGAGTAGATCCAGCAGTTAAATAAAATTTTCTCCCATATTTAAATGTAGGGACATGTATATCCATTGTATCTTTGAACTCTCATGGAAAAGAATGTACTAATGGTAACTGGGGGTGTGCTAAGGCTGGCTTAGTTTTATTTAGTTTCTGATAGTGAAATCTCCCTCACCTTACATTTGCAACTCACTGACCAGTAAGGAAAGTTAAAGAAGAGCAGTATAGTAGCTGTCAGCTGTTAAATTTCTTGGTCTGTCATTCAGTGTTGACTATAATGGTGCACCTGATTTGTATGTGTGTGTGAAAATGAGAGACAGTTGGCAATCCTACATGTTAACCACATTGTATAATAGGTCTAAGGAAGGATCTTATTTTCCAGGGAAGGTGTTTTATTCCATTTATGGCAAAATCCAAAACAAAAAATCATATGTTTTACACACTTAGACATTTTTGTGATCTCTGTATTCAGTTGGGGAGACAAGACTGAACCTTGATATATGAAGGGCCAAGGTAGGTCTTTATTTGTGAAAACTAATGTGAAATAAATGTGTGAAATAAACAATTAAAATCTGTAGTGTGTGCCTGTGTATATACATACATATATATATATATATATATATATATATATATATTGCAGTAGACAGATGAATTCTGTTAGCAGTTGGCATTTTTTTTTTAAGTCTCACCAATTTTATGGGATGAAATTCATGTACAGCATGTCTAGAGAGAGTTTGGGTAATTCTTGCATGTGTTGAGCTCAGTTGTCAGCAGTTCATAGATGATTTTGCCATCCATGAAGTAGTTTTAGGACATTCTGAGGAATTATCTATAGCCTCTGGTCTGAAATCCCAGTGAGAAGTAGGTCATTGATTTCTCTGTCTAAAAGTAAAACATGAGTAGCAAAAACCTGTTCAGTGGTGGGGAAGATGTTTTCTTGCAGTGGGACAGAGCTTTGGGTCCAAGACAAATGCCTTTCTACTTGACTGACCTGCAGGGCTTGATGTGATCATCTCATCAGTCGAGGTTTGAATAATGTCTTCCACTGGTAATCCTTGATGTAGACTCAGTTACTAGGATTTCAAATAGGAAATCATCTGTTTGGGTCAACCAGTAGGTCAGCTGTCCTAGCTCCAGTGCATGTTTTGGCAGCAAAGGCATCAGCTTTGTAATAACTACATTATGCAGGACTAAATGTGGGTAGCCATGGGTAGTTGGTAAGCTTATGTACTAACATTTTACATGGGAAAAATTCTAGTCTTATGATTGCTTTACACTTCATGTTAAAAGAGTTATAAACAGTTAGCTGCCATGGTACTTGGCTGGGCATCGATCACATTGACCTTAATGTGTCAGAATTACATTTGGATGATTTGCTCTACTAATGGTGTTAGTGACTCTTTGTCAGTCTGCCTCATAAAATGTCTCCAATTATTGTAGAATCTTTTCAGATTTAGAAGTAAAGTATTTTAGAAAGCTTTTAAGTTGCTGAATCTCTCAGATCAGCACTTGTACATGAGTGTCCTGGACAGATATACACAATCGCTGACTTTTGTGTGACTATTTCATGGTAATATTTACTAAAGACTTATCCCAAGAAGAAGAGAAAGATCTACCTTATTTGTTCTGATAACTTTTCCCATGTGGTGGGCCTGATAATAAGGTAGCTCTTTAAAATATGTTGAGCAAATGTGGATGGGGGGGGGGACCTAGGGCATTCTAGTGGTGTCTGATTGTGTCCAGAATCATTTCTTAGTTTCTTGCTAGAGGTTGCTCTGTTGCTGGGGTTACAAGTGAGGTGAGGAAGCAGTCACTGGTTCCATAAAGTAACCACCTAAAAGAAGAGTGTCAACTGGTATGAGTGGAAAACCCTCCAAACATCTTTAATAATTTTGAATTAGAATAATAATCCAGAAAGAGGTCATCAAAATAGTTGCTAGACAGACTGACTACTGGATAAAGAGAAAGGTGCCTGAGAATGACAGCTATCCATAGCCATGGCTGTGTTAGTAGCCAGAATAAAACATTTTCTACTAGGTAGATAATATATGCACCACTAGAAATATTTGCTTTTGAAGGAGTGAGGAGCCCATAAAGGAGTGTGTCTTAATACAGATGTTTACAGTTGTTAAGTGTTCAGAATTATAACGAGCTGTCATGTATATAAAAAGACTTCAAAATGAAGTTTGCCATCTACACAGACGACCCCGCAGGCAAAAACTTGAGCTTAGAACGGAATTACCAGTATTCTCTTTGCTAATATGAAAATGTCTTTTATGCATCGTTACAAAATCTTGACATGTATATATACAGCTGCATAATCTTACCAAGCAAGGCTTAAATGAAGTATCCTAACTTTTTAAAGATAAATAATATGGAATATAAAATAAACACTGATTTCATTATCTTCATTTGAATAGTATGAAGAAGAAATGTTGACAAATTGTTTTGTAAGGATACCATTATTTTTGCCTTTATTGAAGTTAAATTTCTTTAGAAAAATCGATGCAAGTGAGTAATTTTTAAAATATGACTCCAAGTTTTCCAAATCAGTAAGTTTAAAATATATTTAAGTGTTATCTGTAACACTAGGCATACCATAATCACCATTACTAACTAAGAATATGGCATGAAACCTCAAAACATGATCCGGTAGTAAATTATCTGCAATCTTGTCTGACTCCAAAACTTAAGATTCCAGTTTATATAGGTGTTGGTTATGTACACTTTATGTATACACTTTATGTATACACCCAGATTTATACTTATAGTTGACCATGAACTATGTGGGGGTTGGAAGCACTGTCCTGTCTTGTCCCTGCCCACAGCTGAAAATCCATGTATGCTTTTGGCTTCCCAAAACTCATAGCCTGTTGTTGACCTGAAGCTTACTGATAATATAAACTACTGATTACATTTTATGTTATATGTATTATATGTGGTATTTTGGCAATAAAGTAAGCTAGACAAAAATATTAAGAATCATATGGAAGATGTATTTACAGTGTTGTACGGGATGCTGTGTTTATTACATTGTTAAGAAATTCCATGTATAAGTGGACCCTCATGGTTCAAACCTGTGTTGTTCAGGGGTCAACTTGTATGTCCTTTCAAGTAGTACTGTTTGACCTGTGTATATACAAGTCATTGTATACAAGAGCACACTTTCATATCTTTCTCTTGGCCTAGATAGGACTTCCATGTCTTGTACCAGATCTTAGAGGAAAAGCTTTTCACCACTGAGGATATTAGCTATGAGCTTGTCATGTCTGGAGACCTTATTTTACAGCTCCTGAGTTGGGAGGGACATGAGGGGACAACTGCTGGTGTGGAATTTCTGGGGTTAGGAGGGGGTCTGGCTCGTGTATGTGACATCACTGATGTCACTCCTCTCTGGAGTTCCATATCTAAAATTCTGCAGTGTGATATCAGTGCATTTCATAAGGTCAGTGCCAATCCCTGTGGGTACAGTCCAGTGTTTGCAGTAGTGGGAGGGTGCACTGTCCAGCACAATGTGCTTGTTCTTTTCATGTGGCCTGCACAGAGCACTAAATCTCCTCTGCACCTCTTTCCCCTCAGCAGAGGTGAGTACCTCCTCACCATTTCTCTCTCCTCTCCAGGGCTGCTGGCTGAGCTGCAGTGCTTCATTTCATTTCATATTATAGCCCACACACATTTCTCTCTGCCCACCTTTTGGTCAGAGAAGCATGAATTTCTTCTGTGTATCCTGGTGTTGTCTGTGCTATCACCAAGGAGTGTTCTATTTTTCTTTTCCCCCGCAGGACTCCATGGATGTAGTGTTGGCCTGATTAATGTAGGTAGTTCTCTTGGGAGTGAAGGAAGGAACCTCCTTGGTGCTGTGTTGGTTCTGTTTACTGACTCTGGTTTGCAAAGCATTGTCACATTTCAGGGTCTCATAAGATGAAAGAACTGGAAATCAAATGCTGGCACCTTTGCCATTGGAAAATTTAGCCCATTTTACCTTACTGTTGCATGAAAGTATCTTTGAATATTCTAGCAACCTTTTGTTGTTCAAAACCAATTTCTTTAAATTGCAGTTTTAAAATGGTTTCCTCTCTCTGCCCCATCACATCTAATAGTCACTGATTGTAGCTCTGTTTCTTCTGTCTTATGACTTCTAAAAATATGGACTGTAGATGCTTCCTCCCTCTGTTACTTTGTTTTAGAAACCATCTTAGTTTTATTTCTGATTTGCTTCTGTTTGGACTCTTAAGGACTGGCTTCCTCAGAAAACAGGGGTGACTGGGTTCTTCAGAAAACATAGGTTGACATGAATGAGTCTTTGGGAGACAGTTGTGGGAGTCACAACTTTTGCTCATAATTTCCTGCCTATCTCTGTTCTGTTTTAGAAGTCAAAGATGACAAGGATAAAGCCATCCTTCAACCTCTTATTTTCCATGTTATAGTTAGAGGAAATTTCAACCAGGTTAAACATGTTATCATTTAAAATTATTTTTGAATGCTTTCATACATATTTTCATAGGGAATTGGAGAGATGGAGATGGAGAAAACAAGGTAAGGGGAGTGACCTCTAAGAGTCTGGCGCTTTAGCTAAATTAACTTTCTACGCAGGGAAGTTGGATTTTCAGAACAGGCCCTAAAGACTGGCAGACCACACACTCTGATTGGGTGAGTAGAGGGTCTAGTTCTTCTCTGAGGAATGGCCATCTCTATTTTACTGTATTATTTTTGCAGCCTGGAATCCTGCGACCTAACTGCAGTCAGTTGCCTAAGTATCTCTAAGGTGCTCATCAGAAGCCAGAGCCTGCTAACTCTGAATCTGTCCACCAATAACTTATTAGATGATGGGGTGAAGCTGTTATGTGAGGCCTTAAGTCGTCCAGAGAGTTACCTAGAGAGACTGTCGTGAGTCTTGCTTTTTTTTGTTCCACCTTCTATATGATTTTGTTCCATCTTAATTATGATTTGAATGGGGATGCTAGGGCTTGATGAACTCTACTCCTTTTTTGTCTAATTCTCATTCCTTTCCAGGCTTCTCCCTTCTCGCCTGCATTTTGTTTTATCAAACTCTATATATAGCTGCAGTGGAAGTTGTAATTTAAGTAGATTTGATGAGGTTGATTTTTGTAATAGAGGCTCTAAGAGTGGTGGGTACCAGCTAGCTTTTCTGTAAAGGAGAGAAGCATGAACTTTGGGAATTCATGGATCTCTTCCCATCTGTTTTTCTCTTTCAGTTTAAGAAGCTGTGGCCTCACAGCAGTTGGTTGTGAGGCTCTTTCTGTAGCTCTCATTAACAATGAAAAACTGACACATTTATGCTTGTCGGAAAATGTCTTGGAAGATGATGGAGTGAAGCTTATGAATGATGCCTTGAAATGCCCACAGTGCACTCTCCAGAGCCTTGTGTAAGCGTCTGCTAGTTTTCATCCTTCAGTATATATGCATTCTAAAATGTATTTAAAAGAGAAAATATTATGAGTAGTTTCTAACCTTTGCATTTTCTCTACCATTATCTTAATGACAACGAAGGTGATGAAGATACTGATATTCAGCTGCCATTTATTGTGTCTTTGGCTCTGCTGGGCCCTGTGCTAAAAGAGTTTTATCTGTGCAAAAGTAGCTGTTGGGCTCCAATTAGCTGCTTGAGTTCTAGGTGCCTTACTGTACAGGAGACAAATGTGAGGCTTAGGAAGGTTACATATTTTGACTAATTGCTCACAAGAAGAAACTGTGGATTCAGGACTAGTATCAACCTACCCAATTGTGTTGTACAGTTACCTGACTCAGGACATAAATACCATTAAACGGAGATGCAGCATTCCATTGCATGACTGGATCTCTGTGATATTCTGTTCATTGCTGTTAGATAATTTCCTAACCAGTTATTTTATCAGATATGTTTTAATTGCCTTCTGGGTGGGTTATTTAACCCCTTCAGCAGTTTCTGGGCCTGCATTTTTTGTACACTCACTCAACATCTATGATCCTTTTGACCAATATTAGTTGAAAATAATTTAAAAACAATTTAACCATTTTTCAGATCTTTTTGTCCTTTGATATTACAGGAATTGAGCTTTCATAGGCTCAATTTTCTTCTGGATATTGTTAGAAATATTATGTGTTACTTCTTTTTACAGCAGTGTGCAATTATTCCAAATTATTTTTATAAGACTTAAACGTCCCTCCATAGATCAGACCTATTGTCCCAGAACCATTTAGTGTAATCTATTTTTTGCCTACTGATTGGAAATGCCACTTTTATTATGTACAAAAAGTCCTTACTAAGATTACTTCTGTTCCACTTTGCACTGTGTAGCCACTTTGGCAGTCGGGCATGCTATTTACGTACAGTGTATAGGAGTTAACATTTTTCTTACAGTAAGAAAAATTCTGAAGAACATGAATTTCTAGTCCAATTTGGTGCAAGCCTATTTCCCAAATAAGAGAGCCAGTGAGACACTGAGGAAAGAGGGCATTTGGTCTGGGAGGGAGTGTTGGCAAGTAGAGAAGGGCTCATCACATGAAACCTTTTCAAAGGTAGAGATTTCTGGGGAGTAAAGCAATGATTCCTGTCTCTCCTCAGGCTGAGGGACTGCCATTTCACTTCACTTAGCTGCGACTCTCTCTCATCCTCCCTTCTACACAACAAGAGTCTGAAGCATCTGGACCTGGGGTCTAATTTGCTACAGGACGAAGGAGTAAAGCTTTTGTGTGATACCTTTCAGCATCGATGCTGTAATCTTCAGGACCTGGAGTAGGTTTTCTGTCACTAATTTTTGCGTAGCTTCAACTGCAGGGTGTCTGAGCATAGGGGAAGCATGAAAAGAAAGCCTGAGAGCTAAGGAACTGTCTGAGAAAAGTTCTGTTGATTCCCTCTGTGGTTCTGCCTGACAGACGCTGAGGCAGTCTGTTCATCATATTTGTTTTAAGTAATTACTGCAGTAATCATAATTACTTCCCTCAGGTAGGGAGGGCTAGGCATCAGACTGAGCAGTGCAGCCATTTATTTTTACCTTGGATGGTGCCCAGTTCCTGAAACTGCAAGTGTGTTCTACTAGATTCCTCCTTAAATTCAGGCTTATAATTAGGTAAGTTTTAAAGGTCTTGGAATGGGAATTTCTTTCTTTTTTTTTTAAATTGACGTAACATTGGCTTTACAACACTGTATGTGATTTAGCAGTATAAGATCACATGCAACAAGTGCAAGTCGACACATCAAACCCACCATCAAGGCACTCATAGGCTTCCACCATAGTCCATTGTGCCTGCGCCCCACTTTGCTCTTCCTAGGAGGTGAATTTTAAAAAACTTTACAACCTCATTCTTAAACTGCAGTCATTTTCATTCCTATTATGTTCTCTTACAAAGTAAGGTTTCAAATATAGGTAATTATGATTACATGCATAGACCTGGCTTTGTGCTTTCCTTTTTCATAATAGTATTTTAGAAAAAAATTGAATATTTTCATAATCCATTGATTATTTTAATGGGTGCATGTTATTTAATATTTCATTATGTAAATATGTGGCTGGAGTGAAGTAAAACAGTCAATTAGTAATCTTAGCTGATTTTCCCACTAGGGGCTGGTAGCCTGGGTGAGTCACTAAGAGTCTAGCCTTAGCATTATTTTGTTAGAACAAGATCATTGGTATACCCAGAGGTCTCTGACTTGACTAATTCATGGTAACTAGATTTCCAAATGAATTTAATAGTTGACTGTCACATCTGTAAACACCAAGGTGATTGAACACTCAGGTCCAATAAGCATCTGTACTTCCTTTATGAAAACATGTATGATATAGGTTACCAAGTGACACTTTAAATTTCCTTGACTATTATTATTCAACTGGAAGACAAAGTTTTAGATAATGGGGATTTTCATTAAATACAATGCCTTCTTTTGCAATGACAGAGGAATAAGTTTGGTGTAACCTTATACACTCAAGATGTTTGCCCAGCTCACTTTGTCATTCATTATTGCTCTAAATACATAGACAAACATACACTGTCTTAGCTACCTTGACAGCCTTTATTTAGGCCATGCAAATCCCCTTAACCTGTATTTATAAGCATGAGAGATGCTGAAGAAATTAAAAGGTTAGTTCTAAGGTGATGCTCTTGTCCTCAAGTAACACAAAATGCTGATGACAGGGAAATAAAATAATGCCAACTATATTGTGTTCCATAGTTGCTGAAATGTCATGGCAAAACTCCCAAAGAACAAAGACTGTGACAAAGGAGACTGAGTTACTTTAGACTTGAAAGATGAAAAGGATTTTGTTATGTGGCTTAGTGGACAGGATACATCCAGACTGAATGCTTTTGGATGCCCCACAGAGGCCTGAAGCAAACACCTTTTTTATATGTAGTTTCCTTCTTTGAAGATAAGTTTGAGATAGATTCCTGGGAAGCATTTTTTATTTCAAAAATATGTAACAAACTGAAAGCATAGAGATTTGTGGGGTCTTTGGGGAAGCTTCTACTCATAGTTTAGTTTTGCTAGTCAGTGTTTATTCCAGGATTTGGGAAGTTTCTTAGATAACTTGTTTGTGGGGAAAAAGTATTGTTTATGTCAGCTTATTAAGAAATTTCAGCTGTTTCTACTGGTAATGTTCGACCTTCCTATTTGTGTCATGGATTGCAGATAAAAAAGGGTCATAAAAGAGGTTCAAATACCTAGACATCTCTCCTGGGAACACATTAATGAAGTCCCACCACTGAGGGTCTCACTGCCCTTTTGTACTTCCTTCAGGTTGACGAACTGTTGTCTCACTAGTGCTTGTTGTCTTGATCTGGCCTCTGCTATTTTGAACAATCCAAACCTGCATAGCCTGGAACTTGGGAACAATTATTTGCAGGATGATGGAGTGAAAATTCTGAATGAAGCTTTGAGCCATCCAAACTGTAATATTCAAAGGCTTGGGTGAGTTCAGTCTTCCATTAGGAAAATGATACCTATTTGGTGGGTAATATAGCTAGAAGTTTAATATGTAAAGTTTAGTATATAGGCTAAATGTAAGTCACCCTCAGAAATGAGAATCTGAATTTTAAATACATGGGTGTAGGTATGGAAGTGGATGTTCTCAGGACAGAAGCCATATTTTACCCATCTTTGTTTCTCCTACCTCCTTAGCATCTTAGAGTATCTATTAAGTACATGGTATTTGATTTAGGTCTTCTACTTTACTCATCCTTCAGCTACTCCAAATTCTCTTTAATTAATTTTTCTTATTAAATAGAAGATTTTAGCATTCATCCTCTGAAAAAAGGTTAGCAATGCTCAAGGAATGTGTACTCCATATCTCACCCTATACCCTCCGTCCTTTAAATGTTAATCATATGTTGTTTACATTTTTTTTCTTGTTTTGAAATCTTGAAGTGATATATATCAAGATTTGGCTTGTATATTTTTACAACTGTTGACTTCTGTGGGGAGCCCACTGTGAAATGGCTTAGCCTTGAGGAATACCATGGTCTCCTTCACTGTTTCAAAAAAAATGCTGACTTTTCTGTTTGCAGTGACTATTTGATTTCTTCACAGCAATACTGCTGTTGTAACTATTGGATCTAAAATTTAAATTTACATATAACCCAATAAGTTAACCTATTTTTGTTTCATGGATGCTGATAAGAGATACAAGAATTCTATCAGAGACAGAGGACATTACCACTCATTATCATAGCAGCATAAGCATTAACACATTTGTGTTGTGTTAGTTTTCCTTGTCCCCCAATTTCTACAGGGTCTACATAAAGTGCTCAGGAGAGAAACACTCAGGAAAGAAGATGGGGGACCCACCATTTTATATAAGCAGTGAATCAGCTGCTCTTTGTTAGAAGAGAGTGACTACTTATTCAGGTTGCTTACTGCACACACACCCTAAGACATGTCAGGGGAACATCTGCCAGGCCACTTCTGTTAGAAAAATGCAGTCGAATTAAGCTTCACAGTAGAATGTCTTCCAACAATATCCACCCCTCTTTCTTATACCAGAAGTGTTGGCTTCAGATTAATTTTCGTGGGAATATACTACTCTGCTGGCCATCTGATTAATCTGACTGGCAGGTGCACATTACCTACCACACCCACCACAGCACTGACAGTCCTCTACCCCAGCCCAGGTGCCACTGCCCCACTTCATTCTTACCCGTGGCCCCTCCTCAGTTTACAGTCACACTTCTAGGATTTGTTTTAGTTTTATATGATCCTTGATTTTGTTTCACTTTATTCCTGGACAGCATCTTACACCATACACAAAAATTAACTCAAACTTGATAAAAGATTTGGATGTAAAATGGAAACCATAAAATACATAGGAAAAAAAACATAGGCATGCTACTCTATAGTGTAGGCTTCAGTCATATCTTGTGGATTCATCTCCAATAGCAATGAACAGAAGAAAATGTCAACAGTTGGGACTATGTCAAAGTAAAAAGCTTCTGCACAGAGAGACACCATTATTAAAACAGAGACATCTACTAATGGAAGATATCTACTAATGTATGTACACCATACGTATAGTGAATTAATGTCCAAGATTTACAGAGAACTCATACAACTGACTATTATCAACAGCAAAAGCAAAACTTCAGAGTTTCATCAACTTACTAATTGATAGTTCCCTTCTATCCTCCAAGTTGGTTAACCAGTTTCATTCCCACCTCAGGCACCTTAATTGTTGAAATTAATTGTGAGTAGCCTTATAAAAGATACTAGTTTTTGTGTATGCATTTTACTTGTAAGTGGCATGTTGCTAATGACCATCTATTTGCTTTGTAAAAACTCCCAGATACTTAAAGTTTACTTACGCTGCTATATTTTTAATGATGTTTAAGATTCAGTGACTTCATAGTTTGCCTTCGTGTGTTCCTGTATTATATTTATTTCCTGGCCTACATTATGAATTGTAATTTATGATGTAAGAAGTGACGTATTCAGCCTATAAATATCTACTGATAATGAGTACTGTAAGTACTAATATTTCTTGAAGTTACACTAACTGTGCACATTATTTTTCTGGAGTTCCCCTACACCCCCAGTTCACATATCTTGTGTGCTTGCTCCCTGTCATGGTATGAAGTTTCTTTCATTCTGTCGTTCCTGCAGGTTAGAATTTTGTGGTTTGACCTCCCTCTGTTGTCAGAATCTTGCCTCTACTCTAAGCATCAACCAGAGACTGGTAAAAATAAACCTGACAAAGAATGCTTTAGGGTGTGAAGGAATTACAAAACTCTGTGAAGTCTTGAAGTCTCCTGAATGTAAACTACAAGTTCTAGGGTAAGTCTTTATTGGCTTATCTCAGGGAAATTTTCCTGGAAGAGGGTTTTGGGATGCCACTTCCTTGTTGCAGACATTGATTGTGGATTGCTGGGCATTTTCTAACTCCCTGGTTTTCTACCATTTATGAATTTTGAGAAACATAATGTAGGATAGTGGTTAAGAGCACTACCTCTAGCTCCAAACTACCTGAGTTTGGACTCTGGCCTTGCCACATACCAGTTACATGCTTGATCTTGTGCTGGTCCCCAATTTCTCTGTGTTTCAGCTTCCTTATCTGTGAATGGGTGCAACGATGATGCCCCTCAGGTTATTGTGATATTGGGCCACCAGTATTTAGAATTGTGCCTAGTTGTTGGAAAAGTCACAATGTATTTTTTCTGTTTTTCAAGCAAAAATGCATCGTGGCCTTTCTGACAACCCAATAATTAGCATGTAGTAGGTGTTTTCATCATTTGCAGTACTATTTTGCTTGAATAGAAAAAGATGCTTGCTGGATCCCTTTAAATTTTAATCTTTCTTCCCTACATGCAGTTTTCCCTCAACTGCTATACCTCCCTCAGTGATTCCTTCCATTTCCTTTCCCACTCCCAGCCATGTTAAATTCTACTTTAACAGTGTTCCCCACCCCACCCCTGACTCTAAACTATGTAGGAAAATAAAGGGTTATATTTCATTGAATGCAAGAAAAACTGTTCCCTTGTTTTCTCAGATTGTGCAAAGAGGAATTTGATGATGAAGCCCAGAAGCTGCTGAAGGGTGTGAGCATCAGTAATCCACACCTCATCATTCAGCAGGACTATAACGGTCATAGTGAAGATGGTCCTTGGTGGCAGCATTTCTGATTTGCAGAAGTTGATACTACTTTTAGAAAGTGAAATCAAAGCTTCAAGGTGAATAGACCTGGGACTCCCAGGTATATTGCATTTGATGTGTTAGATGTAGGTTAGTAGTCACTTTTCTATAAAAATGGTTTTTTTTTCCTTCACATGGGGGTTGAGAGGTAAAATAAAATGGAAATTAAAAATCTTTAAAAAGCGTCACATGATGTTTTCAACTGAATTGAGAACCTAATTCAGATGTGAGATACCTAGAAATAAGACTGGAGGACCAGGAAACGCTGTTAAGGCACCTTGCATTCCTTTCTCTGTTTGCACTGCCAGACCAGTTCACAGCCTCCCCATGCCTGGCCATTTTAGCAATTGCTTCTCCATGTGTGGTCTTGGGACTAATGTCAAAAATCACTTGGGTGTTTCTTGAAATGCAGAGTCCTGACTCCCATGACTCAGGACATCTATATGAGGGTCCGAGGTATTGGCCTTTTTAGCAATTTCTCAGTCAATTCTTATATACATTAATATGTGAGAATCACAAGTCTTGATAGAAAATGGAGTCCACTTGTGCAATGAATATTTTCTCTAGTCTGTTGTGAAGAAATATAGAAAGATGCAGTTTTGGGGGTTAGTGTCAAAGGGGGTACCTCCATTTGGCAGAAACACAGCATGATAAAATTTTCTGTGAAAGACTTCTGGTTATGTAGTGCTATATACAAAGCTTAGTGACTTGAAATAATAACCACATCATTATAGCTCATGACTAGGTGGGTAAGAATTCAGAACAGGCTCAGCTAAGCCTTTATATTATATCATTTGGACTCTTTGGTGGTATTTATCTGGCAGTCAGGTTACTCTGGAGGCCCCAAGATGACTTTACCAAGATGTGTCTGAGCAAGGATGACTGGAAAGTTGGGTTGGATGAGGCTCCTCCTTCTGGTTTTGGCCCTTTGCCAAACACTGAGTTCTTCAGTAGGGATTGAGGTGTTGAAAAGGCCAAGTGAAAATTGTCAGTTCTCTTAAAAGTTATGTCCAGAACTGGCATAAAGTCACTTCTTAGTGTATTTGTCAAAACGGACTGTGCAGTTCATATCTTATACTAATTTTTGGTGTTTAATCCATCAATAGCTCAGAACATTTTCTTCAAATCTTTATATATACTGTAATGGAGAAATTTTCTCTATTTTCTATAGTTCTTTAAAGATTTGAAGTTATGGTATGCAGTAAATGCAGTAGAAATATACCTCACGTAGGTTTGAACTCATCTGCTTTCTGTTTAGCAACCAGTGAGAAAAGTCTTTTATTTCCCTACTTTGGTTGAGAATGTCTTTCAAAGACTAACTGGTCCAGTGTGGATTCAGTGATACAGTAAAATACAATTTTCAAGGGTCTTAAAATGTGACTCTTACATAAATTCAGAATGAACATTTGTTAAATTTCTTAGCAAGGTAACCAGCGAGATGCAAGGTAACCAGCGAGATGCTATCTTATTTTTTTACTTTTGATATAGTAGTTTTTTTTTTTTTACATCATTTTGTGCATTTTTCCATCTCATTTGCAATCCCCTTGGGCTTCCCATCACCAAATCATCCATGTGCCATCACCGTAGTCCAGTGCATTTCCCTCCCCCTACTGTTTTTGATCCCATTCCCTGCTCCACCCCCACAAAATGTCTCTGGTATATAGCTGTCCATCATTAGCATTATTTTAGTGAGATACTATTTTAAAAAGCAATTGAGAAACAAGGAATTAAGTGTCTATCAAAAAAAAAAAAGCATTCAGAAAAGTAAATGCGTGAGGTGAGCACAGCTGCATGTCACCTAACAGTGGGCTAAATTCCAAGAAATGTGTCCTTAGGCAGCAGTGTGCGGCTTCATAAGTACATTATTTGCCAACCAGTACTTGTCCAATTTGCTATCACAGAAACTCAGGAGGTTTTTTTGGAAGAGGAGTAGGGTCACCAATGGTTATTGCTACTGTATACATTTGTAGTCTGTGCTCCTTTGTCACTAGGTGATAGAATTTTAGGACCTTCAATGAAAAGGAACTTTAATACTATTAATATGTGATAAAGAAAAGAAAAAGAGAATATAGTTTCCAAATGAAGCACTCAAAGTTATCCATCCCCTTGTGGGTAAATGCCCAGCCAAACAGGGTTGGCCCAAAGCAGGACTGCTGAGGTGCAAAAACCTCCTGCAAGCCTAAGGCACTTTCTGATGTGGTCCCACAGAGAAGGGGCTTGGAAAGTCTGGAAGAGCAAAATCAAAACCCAAATCAAGGTAAAGACTGCTGTTGTCAGCCTCCCCATAGGTTTCTCACCCACTTCATTCTCTCCTTCCATGTCTCTCAAGTTCCTGGTTCAAGTCCAAGGCCATGAAGCAAATACACCTTCTCCACATGTCTCTATCTCATGTGCTTCCTCCAGGACTCCTCGCTGATCTCCTCCCTGTCTTCTCCAGCTTCTCCACCCTGCTTATCTTCACCCTTTCTTGGATGGAACAGAGAACCTGGAACCCTCCTTTCCCTGAGGATTATCCTGTTACAAATATATATGTTATGAAATTGATTTTTACTTTCCTAACGTGTCTGATGCTGCTTTGATTACACAAGTATCCCAAGAAGAACCCAAGAGGGTACAGGATGATTTCCTTTGTTCCCCAAATACTAGGTAGTGTTGTAATTGCTACTGGTATCCAGTGGGTTCCACACAAATGAATCCAGAATCAAAAAATCTGGGTTTCAGTCCTGTAATCTAACAGGTACAAGCTCTGAGGCATTGGCAAATATTTAGTTTTCTCATTTTTTCAAATGAATTATCTATAAAATGACACTCAAAAAACTGTCTCACAAATGCCCTGGGGGAAAATAAACTTTAGACTGAAGAAGAAATGAGAAGGAAGGACAACTGTCTACATCATTCTGTGATATTGTGTTTTATAATGCATATTTTGACATTTCTTCAAGTTCCTGATTCACAACTTCCAAGACTCTTGTTTCCTAAGTAATAAAAACATTGTTTTGAGCATCTTTTGTTGTATTTTTTTCCTTTTTTTTGACCCTCAGTTCATGAAATTACTTCAGAACCATAAAGGTGAAAGGGGCATTTTGTTACTCATACAAGTCTCTTTTGAGCACAACTGACTTTGTTAATGAGGGAATATTTGGAAATTCCCTAATGATGGGGGGCGGGGTGCTGTTTGCCAGGGAACCAACCCTAATAAGGGGTTGGAACTTTTAGTCACACCCCCTGACCTAGGAGAGGGGACTGTATGTTGAATCAATCACATATAGCTAAAGATGTAATCAGCTATGACTATGTGATGAGCCGCCATGAAAACTTAAAAGGAGGATTTAGAGAACTTCCAGGAGTGTGGGTGAGGATGCATCCACCTGCTGGGACAGGACAGTTTATTACTATGTGTAATAAATTGGTAACCTAATAATTTGTTTTCTGGGTTCTGTGAGCCACTGTAGCCAATTAATGAACCCCAATGAGGAATTTTAGGAACTTTGATTTATATATAGTGGGTCAATCAGGAACACGACTGAGTAACCTGGTCTTGGTAATTGGCATCTGATATGGGTGCAGTCTTGTCGACTGGGGCCCTAACCTCTGGTATCTGATGCTACCTCTAGGTAGATAGTAAATTGAGTGAATTTGTGGGATGCCCAGTCAGTATTTGATATTTCAGTTAATTGCTGGCATGTTAGGAAAACACATTGTACCTTCTGTCAATGTCTTTTTAGAGTAAAAGAAAAAAGAATAATTAGATTAAAAAGACCTTTTTTATAGTCTCTTAATATAGCTTAGTTTAGGTCATCACTTTTGTTTTGATTTTTCTCTATTTGGTATTATTCACATGACTTTCAAAGTAGTTACTTTTTTTTTTTTTTAATTATTTGTGAATACAGAACTGGAGTACAGGCCAGAGGCTCAGGGGGCGGTGAGAGGCTTCACCAGAGACAGAGTGGGGAACAGAACAGGCAGATCTAGGAGGTACACTGCTGAGGGGAGCAGCAGGCGGGTCAGGAGAGGTCTGCCACGCCATGTGGTCACCTCCGGGGCAGGCAGGAATCAAATTCATGCGGAAGCGGCTTTAGATTCTCAGTGCTGTGCTTTAACCCGCTGCGCGACCAGGGAGGGCCCTCAAAGTAGTTTTTAAAAAACAATTATATCCAAATTTCTTTTCCCCCACTTCCACCTCTAATGCTTAGTTATTGTCACCTTTATCCCCCAAAACACAATGTAAACCATTAACATTACTTTCACACAAGAACACTGTTCAGTTTTTTTCCTACATATTGTTCGTTCTAATATTTTTCCTACTTAGTCTTTATTTTTTCTTTATTTTGTAGATCATAGATACTCTCCCACAAATGAATAAACTTTTAAGACTGAGAAATGGGTGAAAGCTAGCATATTTATGTCAGTAGGGAAGAAGAGAGGCTATGAACTCACATTTTTGTCCCTTTCAGATGTAATTAATAGCCCCTTTTTGTATGTGTTCAATTCAGAATCTCCAACACCTAATAAAGTACCATATATTACATGCTCAAATATTTGAATGAGTGAAAGAGAATAAGGTTAGAATTGGACCAACTTATTTGCAGGATGCAAAATTTGGTTTAGTTTTCCAGTATCATCTAAAAAATTAACTACTTTGCAATTTCTTGAGCGCTGAGTTTATTAACACTATTCTTTTGTATAGTTGCTTCATTCCTGTCTTCTCTTTATATTGTACTGAACTGGTGTTAATCCGTCCTTTAGCCTGAAGTTTCAGTATCACCTTATCAGGGAGAAGTTGAGCACTCTTAAATGCTGCCCCCCTTTTCCTAGCAAATCAATGTGTTTACTTCCTGTTGTAATCACAAGTATTTTCTTATTTTATGTCATTATTTACCTCCCTCACCACATTGTAAGTTTGATGTGGACATAGTGGCCATGACCCTTCTATAGTGTTCTATCTGAAGTCCAAGACAGAGTGTCTTGCAAATTGTGGGCTCTCATGAAGGAGTGAAAGCAAAATTAATTATTTTCTCCTAGGAACATCTGATTACTTCTCCAACTTTCTAGCAACTCAATGAAGTAAGTCACATTGTTATTATGGCAGAACTGCTGACTCCCA